AAAAAAAAAAAAAAAAAGAGTCAGATGCTCAACCGACTGAGCCAGCCAGGTGCCCTAGATGTGTAATGTCTTCTTGATGCCCTGAACCCTTCATCATTATGAAGTATCCCTCTTTATCCATTTGTCTTGAAGTCTGCTTTGTCCTCTCCTAATCTGGCCATACCAGTTCCTCATATGGTGTGATGGCATGGTATTTCCTTTTCTGTCCCTCTACTTGTAACCTGTCTGTGTCTTCATTCTGTTACCAAACAACACACTTCATGTAGTTGAGTCTTGCTTTTCATGCAGTCTGACACCCTCCCTTTTTAATTGGGATGCTTAATTCATTTGTAATTATGTGTTATTAATATAGTTGCTTTTAAATCCACTATCTCAGTATTTGTTAGCATTCCATTTGTTCTTGGCTTTTCTGACTCTCCATTCTTGCCTTCTTTGGGGTAAATCTAATATTTCTAAGTAGTCCATTTTGTCTACTGTCTTGACTTTTTAAGCTGTGCCACTTTGTATCATTTTTAGTGGTTGCTCTAGAGATTACAGTAGGCACCTGGGACCATAGTGTATCTTCAATAATATTACACTACTCTACAACAATGTAAGAGCTTTACAGCAGTGTATTTCCATATGGCCTCTCCTGCCCATAAGACCTGATCTTATGGTCTTATATTAAATTTCTACATCTGGCATGAAGCCCATAACCACAGTGTTCTTATTTTTGCTTCAAAAAAAAAAAAAATCATTTGATTTTTAAAAGAATTTAGCTACGTACATGTGTATATGTAAACTAAATATACAGAAAAATACATCTTGTTCCATATACTCAGATATTTAAACATGTACTCATTCTGCAACTCCGATGTGTTTAATCTAGTCTCCTTTGAGAGCCAAAGCATAAGAGACTGTTAAAAACTGAGAACAAACTGAGGGTTGATGGGGGGTGGGAGGGAGGGGAGGGTGGGTGATGGGTACTGAGGAGGGCACCTTTTGGGATGAGCACTGGGTGTTGTATGGAAACCAATTTGACAATAAATTTCATATATTAAAAAAAATAAATAATAATCTAGTCTCCTTTCTCCTCAGGTTGAAGAACTTTCTGTCACATTTCTCGTAGTGCAGGCCTGTTCAGTGATTTCTTGCGGAGTAGGTCTCTCTGAATATATCTTTATTTCCCCTTCATTTCTGAAGGGCATTTTTGTTGGATATGGAATTCTGGCTTGGTTTTCTTTTCACTATTTTAAAGATTTGTGTTCTTTTGTATGTTGGTGCCCCCTGTTTGCTGTGAAGTCACGTCATGTGTCGTCCTGTTGCCTGCACGTAAGGTGTAGTTTTCTCTGTGCTCATCCTGCCTGGGGACCTCAAGGTTTTGGGGTAACATGAGTCTAGAACCCGTGTCTCTTATTGGTTCTTCCACATGCTCTCCCTCAGTATTTCTTCTGCCCCGTATTCAGTCTCTTCCCCTGGAACTGGAGTTATGCCTATGTCTGTGTGTTTTGTATATTCCCTCAGCTGTCAGATGCTCTGTCCTGTTCTTTTTTTTTGTATCATTTTGTTTCAGGCCACTTTTTATTCCCCATTTTCAGCCTGACCCGACTTCTTCCCTGCCATGTCCGGTCTGTTCAGCTTGTTTAATTAAGTCTTCATTTCTCCTATCCAGATTTTTCATTCCGAGTGTTTCCTCGGTTCTTTCTCCTAGTTTTGGTTCCTCTGGTGAAATTCCCTTTCTCTTCCCATATGTTCTTCATCTTCCAGATATTTAGTGTGTTTATGATCTTGAAGTCTCCCTGTGGCGGATCCAACCTTGAGTCATCTTCCATTGACTCTTTTCTCTCAGGAGCATGGGTCGTATTTTCTGGATTCTTTGTGTTTCTTGTAACTTGTTATCGTGTGCTGAGTGTCGGGTTTTAAAAAGAACCGTGGAGACTGAACGAAATACTATTTACCTCCAACAGTAGTTGTGTGCCCCCTTCTTCTGTCCGGCCACCTGTGCTGAGGCTCTGACAGGGTGCTGACCATGTGACCCCCGATCGAGGGGGGTCAGGGCTTCATCGCAGCCCTCGTTCCATTCCCCGTCTCTGCTGCGGGCGATTGAGGCTTCCTTCCAGCAGGGCTTGGGATCCGAGCCCTCAGAGGATCCCTAGAGCCATCTCTATGCCATGGAGCTGAACCACCTGCTTTCGGAGCCGGGGGCGACCTCCCTCTGCTTCCCCCCCGGTTGGCAGCATCTTTGCACCTCCACTCTCAGTCCTGACTCTGCCTTCTGCTTCCCTGCAGCCCTCTCTCCATCCCGCAGCCCTTCCCCTTCTAACACAGGTCATTCCTCTTCCCACCACCCAGCTGTTTCTCTCTTCTTTTAGGTTTCTTTGCATCTAAGCTTTCTGATGGCTTTGTAAAAGGCTTGTGTAGCCCTCCAGCTGGTTTTTGTGGTGAGGGTGAGGGCTCTTGAGGTTCCCCTTGACTTCTCAAGGAACCTCAAGTCTGTCCCGCGGGCTTTTGTCCCATTGTTACTTGCAGGGGAGATTTTTTTTTTTAATATTTATGTATTTTTGAGAGAGAGACAGCCCATGTGTGCACATGTGCAGGGGAGGGGCAGAGAGAGAGGGAGACGGGGGATCCGAAGCAGGCTCCCCGCCGTCAGCACGGAGCCCTGCACGGGACTCAAACCCACGAATCAGGAGATGATGACCTGAAGCTGAAGTCAGATGCTTAACCGTCTGAGCCACCAAGATGCCCCAGGGAAGATTTATTTTTATCCCAGTTACTTTTACAAAGGAATTGCTTTAAAATATCGATGACATGGTTGTTTCCCCTCTATTTTGTTTTAATTAGTAAAAAAAAAACAATTTAGGAGGAGGTAGTGGAAAAATCATGTGTGACTGACTGGTTTTTCTGCAGTAAATCCACAAAAGAACTACCTTGGAACTGACATGCAAGTGATTGTAATTATATACTCATAACCTCCTAAAGTAGAATGTGAAGTAAATGCCATTTACGCCAGAAGACTTATGGGACTATAAAAATAGGGCTTAGTGGCCCCCAAACAGCAAAATACGTTAATCTAAGAATAGTTTCAGGGCACCTGGGTGGTTCAGTCAGTTGAGCGCCCGACAGTTTTGGTTCTAGTTATGATCTCATGGTTGTGGGATCGAGCCCTGCGTCAGGCTCTTTGCTGAGAGCACTGAGTCTGCTTGGGATTCTCTGTCCCTCTCTCCCTGTCCTTCTGCCGTGCGCGCTCTCTCTCACAAAATAAATAAACTTAAAAATAACGGTTTCAAGGCCAGTTTATGTTGGGAGGAAGAAGAGTTGAGCTATAAGGGATTATTTAGTATAATTTACTTGTCTGTTTTCTGTGCTACATAAGTTCATCTGTTGTTGTTTTTTTTAATTTTCATTATGCCATTTAAAAGAATGTCAGGGTTTTGTTTGTGTAAAGAATGCCAGTTTTATTTAAGCGACCAATTTAGATTACCGTTGTTCTTGTATTAAATGTCGTTTAGACACCTCGTGCATAGTCAGGCTATATAGCTCCCTTAGAGAAAGTTAAACCTAGAAATTCGATTGATTTCTGATTTTTCTTGCTTTTGCTGCAAACTGTATTGTCAGATTCCAGAGTGTTTCTGAAAAGCTGCACATGGAATGCCAGGCAGAAATGGTGACCCCGCTGGTGACGAACCCTGGACACGTGTGCATCACGGACACAAACCTGTATTTCCAGCCTCTCAATGGCCACCCGGTGAGGAAGGACACAGGGTCAGCAGGACGGCTGTGTTAGCACCAGACCACTCATCCTCCCTGTGAGCCTGACCTCGCGGTTACAGTGTTCCCCTGTCCTGGCGAGGATCAGAATCCGCCCCCTCCCCTCCAGCAGCTGCGTGTTTAACAGGCCTCCCTGTGTCATCTCGAGGCCTGCTCATCCAGATCTGAGCTCTTCTGATGTCTCTTCCGTAATTTGGGGATCACTTGTTCTCAGTGCGGTGAAAAGAAACCCTGCCCCTCCCACTTTTAGTGAAGAGTCAGTGGAGGTTTGTTACAGCTTTTTACTCGGAAGCACTTCGAGAAATGGATGTTTTCTGTACATCTGTTTATGCGTTTGTATATGCGGGATATTTTGTTTTTCTTTAATTAGGAACAAACTCAGTAGGTCTCCATACGCAAAGGAGCGAATGAAGTGGCCCTCTGCCAGCTAGCACGGGGTGTGTGCGGATGCTGGAATGGGGCAGCTGTAGTGCTTCTGCTCTGGAAACAGGCTCCTCTTTCACAATGACTTTAGGCTTACTGGGCCAGAAAGTGAACTTGAACTCAGATTTTCACACTAAAAGTTTGTAAAGATTTGTAGCTTTCTCTGGATCTCACCCCTTTTTGGCCTGGTTCATTAGAAGAACAGAAATCCTAATACACCATGATAAGGCAGTCGGACCATTTGGTGCGACTTTCAGCTTAAAGAACGTGTTTTCTGTCGTAGGATGCTGCATCCTGGAAATTCTCCAGGCTGGTCACTCAGTCACTATGTCACTAAAACATCTAATACTTTTGTGTGAAAAGTGGTGCTATGACAATTTTGTCCACCAGGTGGCGGGGCACCCTCACCGAGCCCTGCAGTAGACCCTACGCATTGCTGATGGGCGTTCTCTCCTGGTGTAATACTTGGCTTGGCCGCTACTGTTACTGTGGCTTGGGTCCAAAAACTGTAGGAAAATATCTGAGTATGTGCCATAGCTTGAGAATCCACAGTATGAGCATACATCCCCTCCCAAATCTCTGGGCTAGGATCCTTGACCAGTCTTCAGGCAGTTTCCACAGTTGCGCATCCTGGCCTCTGTGGGCTCTTCTTCCCTCTCATTCGGGAAAAGCACGGATGTGTCACCTTTTAGCCAATCTCCGTGGCTTTTTTTTTTTTTTTTAAGTTTATTTATTGATTTTGAGAGGGAGGGGGAGGGAGAGGGAGAGAGAGTTGGGGAGGGGCACAGAGACAAGGAGAGAGAGAATCCCAAGCAGGCTCTGCCCTGTCAGCATGGAGCCGGATGTGGGGCTGCTCAGTCCCATGACCTGTGAGACCATGACCTGAGCTGAAACCCAGAACGGAACCCGGGGTTGGAGGCTTAACTGACTGAGCCACCCAGGGACCCCTCAGTGGCTTTTCTAACCTTGCTCTCCCCTTACTAGTGTTTTAAGCCTTTAGAGAAGCAAGAAAATATTCTTCCTCCTAAAGAACAAAACTTTTAGAGGACCTGCCTAATAGTGTAGTTGTTTATGAGCCTTAACACAATGTGGTTTTTACAGAAGTAAAGATGATTACAGAAATAAAAAAAAGATGTACTGTGTCAGTTGTAAGCAAACCATTGATCTATAAAAAGCAAATTCCTGAGAAGTTACCTGTACCAGCACGTTAATATTCCTTGTCACTCAGCAGCAGCCTGGCAGTATCCTGAGCGATAGATTAGCACATTTATCATATTTTGGGTACTGAGTGAAGGTAACAGAACTTGTCCAAGGTCACAAAGTTCGTGAAAAAGGGCAGACCAGGGGCACCTGGGTGGCTCAGTTGGTTGGACATCCGACTTCGGCTCAGGTCACAATCTCACAGCTCGTGAGTTCGAGCCCCACATCCGGCTCTGTGCTGACAGCTCGGAGCCTGGAGCCTGCTTCGGATTCTGTGCCTCCCATTCTCCTTCAAAATTAAATCAACATTTTAAAAACAAATAAAAAAAAAAAAAGGAAAAGAAAAAGGGCAGAGCAGCATGTAAAACCAGAAGTGGAGAGAGTGTGTCTGTGTGCCTGTGTGGGAGATGGGCAGAGAGAGAAGGTGAGAGAGAACCCCAAGCTGGCTCCACACTGTCGGCAACAGAGCCCGATGTGGGGCTCGATCCCACGAACTGTGAGATAATGACCTGAGCTGAATCCAAGATGCTCAACTGACTGAGCCACCCGGGCGCCCCATAAAATCTCCCTTTCCGGTTGTTCACATGTAACGCTTTGGAAAAGCAAGATTTGGCCCTTTTTTTCACCTTTCTGATACTAAAGGACAGCTTCTAATTGTGTCAGAGTGTTGATGTCTGAAGCTGCCTTTCTACTTTTAAAGAAACCCGTGGTGCAGATAACACTTCAGGATGTCCGCCGCATTTACAAGAGGAGACATGGCCTCATGCCTTTGGTGAGTTCGTGTGGAGTGTCCCTTCTGGATGGAGGACTGTCATGTCTTCAGGTTAGCCAGTGGTTTCTCCACTTGTACACACCCAGGGCGTGATTGAAAAGTGCTTATGTTGTCATAAGCACATTGACTCTGAGTCTTTCTTTCAGATGAGCTGTGTGCATGAGCACGCACACACACACACACACACGTCACTAAATCAAATTTATATGTGGAGATTATAAATAAATAAGACCTACAGATAAAAAACAGAAATGTTTAATTGAAAGGCTTTTGTACTTACGTAGCTTGTTTTGAGATTACAGGGTAAATACAACGCTATTTACTTTTACTGTTTTCTTTCTGAATTTATAGGGCTTGGAAGTGTTTTGCACCGAAGATGACCTCTGTTCTGACATCTACCTGAAGTTCTATGAACCTCAAGACAGAGATGACCTCTATTTTTATATTGCCACGTATCTAGGTTTGGTGCTCACCCTTCATTGTATCTATTCCTTCTATTCTGTTCATCTTCTAGTTCAACTCCTAAGTGCCTGGGGTAGGAAGTAAGAAGCTTGCTATATGTAGAATCCCCTTTCCGGGTCTACTTGGTTCTCCTCATCAGGGACTGTGGCTGGCAGAATGGCCTTCCAAAAACCAAGGGAGATATAAGTGAAACTTGGTAATAGCTCATGCCAATTGCATATTTTAAAAACTCTTGATACATACATTTAAATGTTTTTTACATTTTAACACCTCCCACGTTGAATGAATTATAAAGAATCCATCTAATTGTTTCTATGTTCATTCATGTCTTATATTCGTTTATGAAAACCAAGACTTGGTTTCTTAATATGAGGCCGTGAGTTACCCAGTCATGTGTCTGTGAGCGTTAGCTGTGGTCTTAATCGCAGAGCTGAAGAACAGCACCAAAGGTGCACCTGAGCCTTTTGTACTCAGTACAATACTATGGGACTTGATTTGCTTTTTTTATTTTATTTAAAAAAAATTTTTTTAACGTTTGTTTATTATTGAGAGACAGACACAGAGCGTGAGCGGGAAGGGGTAGAGAGAGAGAGAGGGAGACCCAGAATCTGAAGCAGGCTCCAGGCTCCGAGCTGTCCCCACAGAGCCTGATGTAGGACTCAAACCCACAAACCATGAAATCATGACCTGAGCCGAAGTCGGATGCTTAGCCGACTTGATTTGCTCTTAATTAATATTTCCTCAGTCTTCCATAAAAATGTGAATTTTCCCACCTTTGTTAGAAAGAACACCTATATTTTTCTTTTTAGGCATAAACGATATGAAGTTGTATATGGTTCAGTTGAGTTATTCTTGTTTACAGAGTTGTCTGTAAACCGTAAAAACTACAATGGGTTGATTTTCAAAAATAGATGTTGGGCTTTTATGAATGCCATCTTAATTTTGTGTGATGCTTTTACTCCCTTGGAAATGGAATTTTCCCTCAAAGAAGAATCGTTTATTTTCAATAAGAAATATATTTTATTTTCTAGTAGGTTTAGAGTTCATTTTTTTTCTTCTCACATTAAGCTCTTACGTTTAATTTAATGCCTAAGTATAGCTCTGATATGAGTTGACTGTTATTTCTTGCCTCCTGATTAATTTTTTTTTTTCATTTTATTTCTCTAACTATATAACAAGATTACAACAAAAAACTCAACTTTCATGGTGAGTCCTCAAATCTCAAGTCAAGGAACTTGCCATGACCTAAAAACCTGTCTTCTGTAAATCTTCCTTATTCTCTCTGGTATTATTCCTCAGGTTGGTCAGACTTTCTCTGAGGTGTTCTGAGTGTGGGAAATGAGAAGAAGCAGCATTTTGATTTTTTTAACCCCTTTCCTCTTAGCTGGTCGGAGAAGCAACGTGGTAAAAGTAAATCATAAATATTGAACCAGCAGATGAGTTAGATAAGTGGCTTGGTGCGGCCAGCAACAGGTCGACGGCAGAATTTTCTCAACAAAAGAGAGCAGTCAGTCACTTTATGCTCTCTGAGAGGAAAGCTATCCTTGGTGCCACATACTGATTCCACGTTTCCTGAGGTGTTCTGGGCGGCGGAGGGCGTGGCCCTTCTGGCTCTTCTCATTTGAGAAATTAGGTTTTCCTGCCAGAGACCTTTTTCTCCTTCAGCCTTGCTCCTCACCCGCATACATAATGCACAGGCATTAGCAAACCAGCTGTCGTACACCTCTTCCTAATCTAAAAGAAGACTGAAAGATTATTTTTGTTTTGATTGCATAAAAAATGGAGGAAATAAGCTTTTACGAATGGCCATGGCTTCTTTAGGGCGTTAAAACTCAAGCACTTTGTATATGTGGCAGACTATGTATAATATAGTAAGTATTATGCATTACCATGTAATTTACATATTTGCTCCATACCTTCATATTTGTTTTTTTCATATATCTAATACCTAAGTATGTTTTATACCATATATGTGATAATGTTCCCTCCTGGATCTTGGAGATATTCACACTTAACACAACGGCTGTTTGGTGAAAACCAGCCATAGCCTCCTTTTCGTTTTCTTTCTTTTTTTTTAATTTTTTTTTTTAATGTTCATTTATTATTTTTTATTATTATTTTTTTTTAACTTTTATTTATTTTTGAGACAGAGAGAGACAGAGCATGAACGGGGAGGGTCAGAGAGAGGGAGACACAGAATCCGAAACAGGCTCCAGGCTCTGAGCTGTCTGCACAGAGCCCGACGCGGGGCTCGAACCCGTGAACCGTGAGATCATGACCAGAGCCGAGGTCGGACGCCCAACCGACGGAGCCACCCGGGCGCCCCTCGTTTTCTTAAAATGTATTTTTCAAAAACGCGTTGAAGGGCCTGCGTTGAAAGCACCTAGCTTTTACACGCTCAGTAGCACGTAGCCAGCGCCCGCCCAGCTCGGTGGTGACCGCGGGCCCCGTCCTCCTCAGAGCACCACGTCGCGGAGCGCACGGCCGAAAGCTACACCCTGCAGTGGCAGCGCGGGCACCTCTCCAACTACCAGTACCTCCTGCACCTCAACAACCTGGCCGACCGCAGCTGCAACGACCTCTCTCAGTACCCGGTGTTTCCGTGGATAATAAACGATTACTGCAGCGCAGAACTGGGTAATTGCCGCCGCGCCGAGTTTGTAGAGGGAAGAATGAATTCTCACTGAGAATCGTGTTGGGATATGTAAGCACGTTAGCACTCATCTTGATTTTTTTTTTTTTTTTTTTTTTTTTTTTTTAGTTAAGGTTGCTAATGTCCATTCTGAGACACTGGATAAGTGTTCCTAAATTATATATGGGTTTCATAGGTGTTTTCTCCACTATCTCAATTTTTTTTAGTCCTCACAAAAGCCCCGCCCTCCCCGCCTCACCCCGCCATACTTCCGGAAAGACCTGCCCAGAAAGTAGGCAGACGATTTGAAGCCAGTTACCAGCATTACCTCTGATTACCACTTTAGAAATACGTTTTTCACTTTGAAAATTTGTTCCAGGTTGTCATAGACTTTTAAAATTCACGCTCAAAAATGAGATTGCCAAAAGTAATAATTATTCATTCCAGAACATGTAGAAAGTACTGAGATACTTAAAGAAGGAAATAAAAACCATCAATAATTACATAAATGAGTGGCAACCATTTTAACTTTGTGTATTTATCTCTCAAATTACTTCTAACAAAAATGTGATTCTATTATAATTTTATTTTCTAGTATTTCTAAATAACGTACTGTGGGCAGTAAATTCTTTCTGACAGTTGACTGATTGAACCCTCACACTTGAAGGAAATAACAGATTTTCTAAGAATGAGAATTTATTTCTCTGCTAATATTCAGTCCCCAATTCTCAAATTGTGCTATAATAGAAAAATAAGAAAAATAAGGTTGACTATAATTCAAACTTAAACCATAAATCTTGTAGAATACTAGCTTTTAAAATGTGTTTATTTTTGTTGTTTTCCTTGGAATATAGGTGTTTTTTTTTTTTTTTTTTTTTTTTTTTTTTTAGTTTGTACTTTTTTTAAAAAAAAATCAATATTCAGGGCATTTTCAATTAGAGATGCTACTTTTTTTTTTTTTTTTTAATGTTTATTGAGAAAGAGAGTCACATTCGTTGGCGCACATGGGGGAGAGGCAGGGGAATCCTAAGCAGGCTCCAGGCTCCAGCTGTCAGCACAGAGTCCAATATGGGACTCAAACTCATGAACCGGGAGAGAATGACCTGAGCTGAAGTCGGACACTTAACCGACTGAGCCACCCAGGCGCCTCTAGAGATGCTACTCTTGAGTGACTGTTGCTAACTTAAAGCTCAGGCTGCAACCATTACAGCTGCATAAGTAACTACCAGAAACACTAGAATTCTAATGGGTCTGTCTCAAGTTTTTCAAAAACTTTGTGGAAATAAATGTGTGCATGTGTATCTGTTGTGTGGGAAGTGAGGTTCTTAAGTATAAGCTTGTTTGCTTTATTTTAAATAATTCATTTTTTTTTTAATTTTTTTAACATTTATTTATTTTTGAGACAGAGAGAGACAGAGCATGAATGGGGGAGGGTCAGAGAGAGAGGGAGACACAGAATCCGAAACACGCTCCAGGCTCTGAACGGTCAGCACAGAGCTTGATGCGGGGCTCGAACTCATAGACCGTGAGCTCATGACCTGAGCTGAAGTCGGACGCTCAACCGACTGAGCCACCCAGGCACCCCAAAATAATTCATTTTTAAAAATGTATTTATTTTTACAGATTTGTCCAATCCGGGAACGTTCCGGGATCTCAGCAGGCCAGTAGGGGCTCTAAACAAGGAACGGCTGGAAAGACTTCTGGTATGTGGGTTCGGGGATACCCGGCTTCTAAACAACTCCACGAGCCATGGCCTCTGTGTCTATAGTAACGGAAACTCATTTCTCCAAGACTTAGATGAGGACTATGCCGAGTGACCAGAGGATCTACGTCATATTTCTTCTTACTATCCTCTCTGCCCGCTGCCTTCCCCCGTGGGTTTTGCTGCTCACCCGCCATTTGCATCTTTGGCCTACAATTCAGGAAGTAGGAGTTTACTGATCACTAGTTGACTGATTTATTTTCATGAAGGTGCTCTGGTAAATTGCTCAAGAGATGCATAAAATCCATTCTATTCAATCCAGCCCAGCATTGTTCCCACTGAGCCAAGAAAAGCAAAATACTTATCACAGGAACACTGTGTGTGTGTGCAGTTTTATTTTCTATTCCTTTTTTTTTTCCTTCCTTCTATTCCTATTCAAGAGAGAAATTAGGGGATATAATGTATCCATGCCACGAGCTGAGGCTTTTACTACTTGGGTCAGTTGTTACTTTCATGGCCAGCACTCAGCAGGATCTTCCGTGTGTTGTAGAGCCGCTACCAGGAAATGCCAGAGCCAAAGTTCATGTACGGCAGTCACTACTCTTCTCCGGGCTACGTGCTGTTTTACCTTGTTAGGATCGGTAAGGTTCTTTACCCTCGCTCCCAAATGCGGTGCTATTTCACGTGGCGTCTTCGGTGACTCAGTGGTCTCACTTTACTCTGATCTCCCCCCTAGCACCAGAGTACATGCTGTGCCTGCAGAACGGAAGGTTTGATAATGCAGACAGAATGTTCAACAGGTTTGGCCTAATGCTTCCCTTACCGTGTTTTAAACCCTCTAGTTACAAACATGCAATGTGTTTGCTTCCAAAAACTGGATACTAAAATGTCAAGAGATGTAAAGAATCACTGATTGGTATATCTTTTCCATTCAGGCTTTTTCTAGTCGTGGGTGCACGTGTGTGTGTGTGTGTGTGTGTGTGTG